AAGAGGCTTCAGCACTATATCAATGCAGCGCAGCAAGGGACGTTCGTTCCAGACAGGGAGAAGGATGAGCTCACAATGGCCCTTGGGAATCCTGAGCACCCTGGACGGACACGAGGCAGGCCAGGCTCCATTCCGTGGAAGGTTGGTTTTTCGGACGCAGGGGGTTACAAAACCCACGAGAGGAGGAAGAAACTGGAGCATGGCCAACTGCAGGCGCTGCACGAAAGGGTAATGGGGCTAGAGGAACGAGAAGAGGAACGAGAAGCAGCAGATCGCAGCAAACGACCTGCCGAAGCTTCCCCCGAAGCTACCCCGCCATCTCAGCGGAGAAGCAGCATGGCTTCCACCGAGCTTCTTCAGCCGGAGCATGTCTTGACGGCTCCTGCCAGCTATCCCGTGGATGCTATCACGGAGTCTAAAAAATGCCACATTATGACGCGATGGATGAATTTGAAGGTCAAGGCGGTTGTTGGCTCTGTTTATCCTACTGAACACGGCGCAACTTTTCACTGCTGGCCGATTCCAGAAGGATATGCTAGGGTGATGGTGGATGAAATAACGGAGGGATTTGAGGTCCTCTAGCTTGACCACCCTACCGGTGAAGGGGAGACTAGGATGGGTTCTGCTCTGAAGACTCCATGCCTATGGCGGAAGGAGCTCATCAACCTTCCGAACTGGATGCCTCCGCCTCCTCCTCCTCCTCCGGCGAGTCAGGGCACTCCGCCTCCTCCACCGCCTCCTCCTCCGGCGAGTGACAATCAGGGCATTGGGCCTCCTTCTCTGGCGCGTGGCGGCACTCCGCCTCCTTCTCCGCCTGTGCCGGCGCGCCCGAGCAGCCAACAGCCTCCTCCTTCTCCGCCTCGCCAGCAAGGGCGGAAGAGACCCGCCGCCGCCCCGGCTACTCTGGCGCGTCGTAGTCTTTCTCCTCCTCCTCGTAAGCAAGCACGAAAGAAGACAGACGCCGCAGCCGCTCCGTCTGCTCCGGCGTCTAGCAGCACAGCCAGAGGCGGGAGGCAATACAGATACGGTCCACCTCTCAAGCCTCTAGAGAAGTTACCGTACGAGAGGACCGAGGAGGAAAACGCGACGATCGTGCAGACCCACGTGAAGGAGTTCTTTGAAGGGGTGAAAGCAAAGAGACATCCACCTCCGGAGGAGAAGGTAGATCCGGTGAAAGCAAAGCGCACTCTCGATGCCCCGAGGAAACCGGCAAATTCTCCGCCGAGAATCAATATGAGCGCATTACTGAACAGACATATCTCCAAGCAGAGCGGTCGGGAAGTACTGTCAGACATCAAAGGTCAAGAGAACGAGCAGCTGTGAAAAAATTGACCAGCTCGGCGAACAAGCAAACCAATCGTGCCCCCCGCTCAATGTGTCTAGCGGCAACATCATCGCTAATGCTCCGGGGATGGTGGCCGGTTATGGCAATCTACAAGATTACCTGCCTGACGATCAACTTCCTGATTTCATGGAGGTGGACGAACACAGATACGAGTACAGGAAGCCTCTCGTCGAAGATGAAAAATCTCTAACAAAGATGATGCGAAGATTCCATAATTGGTACATGAAAACCTGCAGAGAGTCTGGGGGGACGAATAGTTTGTATCTGAACATTAAAGAGGAGCACGACCTCGTTGGAACTGATCTGTTGTGTGTTCCATTTGAGGAGTTCTTCGCGTTCTTCAATCAAAAGGCCCTCGATAAATTAACGGTCTTTTGCTACTGCCTGTAAGTACTATTTCTGTCATTAAGTCTCTATATATAGCTCGGCTCTTTCATTGCATGTATTTATAGTTAATTATCCTCAATATATTATGCAGATTGAAGATCATCGAGTGCAGAAAACAAGAAATTTATGATATTGGGTTCATTAACACAAATATCATAGATGAATTTCTGGTTAAAAAGCACGCCGAAGAGGCCGAGGCCAACTTGCTACAATCATTGATCAAAAATCAAAACAAAGATACCATACTCTTTCCTTACAACTTCAAGTGAGTATTACTGTCGTGTGCATATTCGATTTCCCTTATTACTCGAGCGAGGTTATAGTAATGTAATTGATGAGTTATGCATGCGTGCGCAGCTTCCACTATGTTCTTCTGGAGATTAAGCTTGAGCGGGGACTAGTAACCGTCTTAGACTCGAGACGACAAGATCCCGAAACCTATGCGGACATGACTAAATTGCTCAACAAGTAAGTTCAATCGATCATTATCGCACCATATCGGCAACTTTTTGTTCATTTTATTATATCTCAAGTAATAGTAATTATTTTGTTTGTCTTGCAGGGTTTGGAAACAGTTCACCGCAGAAGCTCCGGGACCGCCGAAGGAGCTGTGATATACATACCCGAAAGTAAGTACTACTGGCTAGCTAGTTGCGCGCATCTCCCGTTGATTCTATAGCTATACTTTCATAATTTTTCATAAATGCCATTTATAATGCTTCATTATCAGTTTGATTGACCTCTATTTCTCGTAAAGTGCTTGTGGCAAGAACGAGGGAATGATTTCTGTGGATACTACGTGCACGAGTTCATGTACAACGCGACTTTGAAAAATAAGCGGGGCTACTCTAAAAGACAATATGAAGTGCGTAAGAAATAATATTCACAATTTCATTTTATTACACCATCATTTCTGTTGAGTTTCATTCATATATATGTATTAATTAACCCCCTTCTTCAAATTAGACGTGGCAGATGCGGAATGAACTCCTAGAACAAGATCGCATGAAAGCAATTCAAGAGGAATTGGCGGGATTCTTTCTTGACCACGTCATCAATAAAGCCGGAAAATACCACGTGGAAGTTGATTTTAATTGCTAGGGGATTGTAATTAAGAGATCTTACATATTGTATATGTATGTAGCTAGTAGCGTCGGATAGATAATACGAAAACTTGTTGTTCGACCAATGTCTCAGAGAAGGAGAGGTCGATCAATCACTTCTCTCGGAATGCATGACGAACTTCTGTACTTAATGGTTCCCTTCATTTTCTTACTAGCTAGCGTGTCGAGGGCCTCTCTATGTATAGTACGTAGCGTCGACCAAGCACGGACATAAGAGAGGACACTTCTTTCTATTAATTAGCTAGCTAACACAATATATGAAACACCTAAATTAACCCCCCAAAACCCCCAACCCCCCCTCCCCATTCAAAAAAAAAACAAAAACCCCAGCCACTGGAATGCTGACGCGTGGATGCCTTTTGGTCCCGGTTGGTGCCACCAATCGGGACCAAAGGCCCCCTGCCTGGGCTCGGCGCACCGGCCACGTGGAGGACCATCTGTCCCGGTTCGTGTTAGAACCGGGACTAAAGGGGGGAGGTATTAGTAACGACCCATTAGTCCCGGCTCATGAACCGGGACTAAAGGCCCTTACGAACCGGGACAAATGCCCCCTTTTCTACTAGTGCATGAAAATTCAATGGGAGTTTGGCGCTTGATGATGACAGGGATGTTATATTTATATATGTAGTAGCGTTGGATAGATATACGAAAACTTGTTGTTTGACCAAGCACGGAGAAAGAGAGGTCACTTCTCTCTATATATGTTCATGGCGATCTTGTGTAATTAATGGTTTCCTTCATTTGCTTACCAGTTAGCGTCGAGTTCTCTCTATATGTATAGTAGCTAGCGTCGATCAAGCACGGAGAAAGAGAGGTCACTTCTCTCTATTAGCTAGCTAACACAATACGAAACCCCTAAACCCTCCAAAACCCCTAAACCCCCCATTAAAAAAAACCTCTAGCGCCTGCGAGATGCTGACGCGTGGCTGCCTTTTAGACCCAGTTGTTGTTACCAAGCGGGACTAAAGGTCCTCCTGCCTGGGTGCCCCACAACGGCCATGTGGAGCCCCTTTAGTCCTGGTTCATAAGTCAACCGGGACTAAAAAGTTGTGGGCATTAGTCCCGACCGTTTTGTCTTGGTTCCAGAGCCGGGACTAAAGGCCCTCTGAAACTGGGACTAGTGCCATGTTTTCTACTTGTGATGGGTAAATGTCAAGAATTGTACTGTAACGGCTAGTAAACTACTGGGTGTTCTCTTGACCTCCAAAAAAAAATGAAACTCCATGGGCACTAGCACCCATGGTTTTATTGATATAGAACAAGCATCCCTCATGAGAATTCCAGAAATTAGTCCCCGACGTGGATCGAACTCTGGTTGTTAGGTTTACAATTATGCGCCCCCAACCACTGGGCTATGCCCACGTCCTCTCTCTTGACCTCCAGAAGACTACTTTTGAGACAACATAGAGGAGCATATACGTATAGACAGAAAATCACGTAAAATACATATATTTCTAATCAACTAATCATATGCGCCTAAAGTGATCCATTCCAATGGTATATATCATAAAACACATATACATTTATGATCCACTAATCACATGTGCCTAAAGAGAGCCATTCGAAAGGCAGATCGCACATATAGTAGTTAATGAATAGAAGATGTATTATTCAGAAGTTCGTAACATTACATAAAACTAATACAACCATGTTTTATACGATCATGTTCTACTACATAAAATCTTTTGTCATGCACAGTAATACAAACAGTAGTACAATACCATAATGTTTTTGTTCACACAATAACATAACGTCTGATGTGGCCCCCTCTTCTTCTATTCTATTGCATAAAGGCACAATCATAGAGTGCAATAATGAAATCATTAACATGTGTTGGAAGTGTAGGTACTTGCAATCTTGGACCGCGAACATGTTTTTCTTTATGTATCAGTCCGATGACATAGCATTGGGCCACACGTGTGGAATAGCTCCGAGTTTCAGGTCATACCTTCTGCTTACCGTAATCCCAAATTTCTCGGACATGTCAACTGAATCAAGGCTAGCTCCATCAAGAAGCTTCCAGTTGAAGTGATACATAAAGTTTGTTAGTGCCATCTCCATGAGTGACGAGCCAAATTGAATCCCTGGGCATTGTCGTCGCCCAGTTCCAAAGGGAATGAACTCAAAGTATGTCCCATTGTAGTTCACGTTGTTGTTCTCAAACCTCTCTGGTCTAAACTCTCCAGGATTGTTCCAATATGCAGGATCATGGGAGATTGAGAATAGATTAATACATTGATACCTTTAGGGATATCATAACCCATGATAATACAATCCTCTCTGGCTGCGCGTGGAACTAGAGGAGCGGGTGGATGCAACCTAAGGGTTTCCTTGATGACCATCTGCACCGACTGGAGTTTAGGGATGTCACTATTGGTAATGAGAGCTTTGTTCTCACCCAACACCTCACGTACTTCTTGTTGTGTTTTTTCCATAGTCTCAGGACTATGCATAAGCTCAGACATGGCCCATGCCAACGTGGTTCCTGTAGTGTCCGTAGCAGCTGCAAATATGTCCTGGAAACGAAAGTTGTTATGAATTAAGATAAAACACAGACTCACACACACACACATATTCCTCAAACCCTGATAATTCCATGCTACTATTATTATTGATGCTCGCCAGACTGTTTGACTTACATTCCATCCTTTTGGGGGCGTCGCTGGGTTTTTTTCTCCATGTCAATGCTTCGGGTGTGACTTACCTATCGCTGGGGGGTTTCTTCTCCAAGCCAGGGCTTTGGGTGAAAACACTAGCCTATTGTTTTAGGCTCGACGGCGGTGGCTCTATGCACCGTTACACCCTTGGAGGTGGGGGCGTCGCCGCGGAACTCAAGTACCATCAGGTTACAGCGCGTTGGCGCCTTCGGGTTTGCTTTGGTCCTAGCCTGATGGTTTTTCGGCTCTGGCATGGAATGGATTCGCTGGTCTCCTATCATTTACACATGTCCATGTAGTCATCATCCTCGGTCCTTGCTATGCGATGGCGGGATCAGGGCTCCACGGGCTAGAGTGGGAGTACGCACACACGTGCCCTCTCGGGCGATAGTTTGGTGTGTTCGGTGCGTCGGCGGCCGGTGATTTCCCACGGCGACACGGTCCAGTTCTGGTTTACATGCTTGGCTTCGGGTTGGTGGCGTCCTCCTCTCCGCCGACTCAGTTATCTTTTTTTTCTTTTGATTTGTCTGTATGGGTTATCTTCACCACCTTGTGTCGTTTTGGCCGTGGACTTTATATATAAAGCGGGGCGTCTATTTGAAGAGAGATAGAACACTCATGCACACAACCTTGTCAAAACTGTGGTTTCTTTACACCACGGTAGTTTTGTATGGCATACAGTGAACATTTGATTAATAATGATTGTGCTTAATGTTAAAAGTTGGTACTCCATCTGTAAAGAAATGTAAGATCTTTTAAATAAAAGTGATCTAAAATATCTTATATCCTTGTCCATGCCAAAATAAGTGACTAGCTGACTCAATTTTATACTAATTTTAGTACAAAGCTAGTACAAACTTGAGTCACTTATTTTAATATCGAGGGAGTATTTTTAAAAGAAAAGTATACTTTTCGTCCCTCAACTCTTGGCAAAATTTAGATTTAGTCCCTCAACTACAAAACCGGACAACTTGAACCCCCAACTCTTAAAACCGGATAAGTTTGATCCCTCCTCTTAGTTTTGACCGGTATTGATGCCCACTCATCCCGGTTTTGACTGATCCATGCTGACATGGCAAAGAAACCACCAAATTGACCAGCTGATTCCCTACTCTCTCTCGTATGTTGTTGCTGCTGGCCTCGACAATGTGAGCGCGGCGCCTGGAGAGGGGATCACCGCGGCTTGACCTGCTCGTCGCCGGGATGGAGCACGTCGCCGTCGTGGCCGGACTGGGGCACCTCGCGGCTATGGTGGTACTCGCCGTCGTCGCCGGCCTTCAAGCGCGGTCCATCGCTTGGGTCTAACAGTGTGGTGAGTAGGCGGAGGCACGTACCTCGCCATCGAGCGCAGCACGAACCTCCATCCCTCCCATCGTATTTCGTGTTGCTCGACGCCTATGACTCCACGCGCTAGCGGCGCCGTGTAACTCCTCCGCGCGCCTTCATGGAAAACTCAGGCACGAGGAAAGGTCGTGGTGGATGCTTGTTGTGCCGTGTGGTGCAGGTCGTGGCCGTGTCCCGTGTGGTCTTCAGGCGTCCGGAGGAGTGGCCAGCACGGACGGTTAAGGAGGAGCACAAGGCTTGCCGGGGATGAGCCTTCTGTGTGGACAAGGACAGCCGGTGGTGGCTGCAGGCACACCGGCAGGAGATGTGGCGGATGACAACAGGTGCATGAGGAGGCACGAACACATGAAGACTTGGAGCGGCGTGTTTAGTGGCCAGCAGGGTGCCCAGCGGTGCGTGGTAGTTAGCACGACCACCTATGATGGCGGCGCTGGCTCGTCGACTGACGGCACGCTCGGTTTGTGCCAAGGCGCAGCAATTGCAAGTCAACTGTTGACGAAATGTCTACACCGGAGATGGATGAAAAGAAACAGAAATATCGCCTGCTAGACATGACCCAGTCAAAACCATGTTGAGTCAGCATGGATACCGGTTTGGTTGAGTCGGGGACTAAACTTGTCTGGTTTTAAGAGTTGGTGATGCAGGTTGTCCGGTTTCGTAGTTGAGGGATCAAATCTAGATTTCGCTAAGAATTGAGAGACGAAAAGTATACTTTTCTCTATTTTTAAAGAGGGAGTACTATTCAGGTGACTGAACCACAAGGTAGAGTCGCAGAGGACAAGCTGAGATAAGGCAACGCTCTCTCCTGGTAGGGATCATCTCCGGATCAGAAACGGAAGAAAACTCGTCTCGTCCATTCAGATATTGTGGTTCAGAAACGTTCCTTTTTTTCTTTTTCATATGTGGTTCAGAAACGTTGCTCTAGCTAGTACTAGAACTATTCAGATCCAAGAATAAAAATGGTACTTGAAATTAAGGGAAATATATACTCACGAACAAGACTGCGCCTATTGTTTGCGTGGTTAGAGGGAATTCCAGCGAGTCCTCGTGCTGCAGCCTGAGCAGCACGTCCAGCAGGTCCTCATCCCCGGCGATGGAGGCTGGCACCGCCTTGCGCTCCTCGATGACATTGGCAATGATGTGCTGTATGCGGCCATAGCTTCTCTTCATGTGGCGCTCATCGCTGCTCAACCACCGCACCAGCCGCGATGAGGGGAAGAGGTCAACCGGAGAGAAGCTGCCCAGCAGCCTCAACGCCTCTTTCAACTCGTGGAGGTACTCGCACTGCTGTGCAAATTTGCCGCCGAAAACCGCACGCGTCACCACGTCGTTGCTGAGCGCCATCACCTTCTCGCTGACGTTGATGGGGGCACCGGTCGATGCGGTGGCCGCGATGTTGCGGAGGAGGCTGCCCACCTCGTCAGCCCTGATGCCCTCCATGCGCTTCACCTGCGTCGAGCTGAGGAGCTCCATGACGCAGATCTTGCGCATCTGACGCCAGTGGTCACCGTAGGCGGCGAAGGCCACGTCCTTGCCTCCGCAGCCGAAGATGTCCACCGTAACGCTGCGCGGCCGGTCGGCGAACGAAAGGTCGTTGGTCTTCATCACCAGCGCCGCTGCCTCGGCGCTCGAGACAACCACGATGGGGACCTCGCCTAGCCTGAGGACCATCAACGGCCCGTGCCTGCGAGATAGCTTCATCATCGCGCGATGCGGGAGGAGGCTGATGACGTGGTGGAGGCTGCCGATGATGGGGAGAGTCCATGGACCTGGAGGCAGCTGCTTTTTGGCGGCCGGCCTGTTATTGCCGCCGGACAGCCTGACAAACAAAAGGGCTAGTAGCGTGCATGCTGTTGCGAAACACAAGCTTAAGAACCACTCCTCCATTGCTGGCAGCTTAGTGGTAAGTGATCGCCCGTGTGTGTGTGCTTATTTTTCCAACTTAATGATGATGCAGTACGTTACGAAATGGTGTATGAAAACGTTTAGATTCTACCAGATGAAAACAGGTGAAGATAAACCGTGCTCACTGATCGACACGTGCCCTGCAGGCCCATCCACCGCTTCCCCAGCTGCAGCCTTATCCCTTCACGTCCTCTCGCCTCACCCGTTATCGCATCTCGGTTCGTAGAGAGGCTTCCATGGCGACGCAAAACGCAGCAAGTTCATGAAAACTGTTGAAGGCAATGCAACTCTCGATGTATTGATCGGATGCATGGTGCACGCATATATAAGTACAAGGGCAGCCCTCAGCCTCATCTATACAAAAAATTAGAGGCGGGGCCGGTAGGAGATTATCCTAACAGATACATGCACATGATATGTTCAACACCCCCCGGAGTCAATACGTCACCAGTGACGCATAGACTGGACCGAAACTCCTCAAAGGTAGGCGTCAGTAACCCCTTGGTCATAACATCGGCAAACTGCTGAGCTGTGGGAACGTGAAGAACGCGGATGCGCCGAAGAGCCACCTGCTCTCGCACGAAGTGAATGTCGAGCACAATATGCTTCGTGCAACGATGATGAACGGGGTTGGCGGAGAGGTAGACTACAGAGACATTGTCACGGTAGACAATGGTGGCCTTCAGGACGTCAAGGAGCAACTCCTGGAGAAGCTGCCGAAGCCACGAGCACTCGGCGCTGGAGCGGGATACCGTGGGTTGTCGTTTAGACGACCACGATATAAGCGAGGGACCCAAGTAGACGCAGTAGCCAGAAGTGGAGCGACGGGTGTCCGGACAGCCAGCCCAATCGGCGTCACTGTAGGCAACAAGGTCGGTCGAGGGCGAAGCCGTCAACGTATGACCCAGAGCCGTGGTGCCGCGGATGTACCGAAGAATCCGCTTCACCATGTTCCATTGAGTGTCGCGAGGAGCGTGCATGTGAAGACACACCTGCTGGACGGCGTACTGCAGGTCCGGCCGAGTGAGTGTCAAGTACTGAAGGGCGCCGACGATGGAGCGGTAGAACGCCGCATCCGGCGCAGGTGAGCCATCGAGCGCAGAGACCTTGGCCTTCGTGTCGATAGGCGCGGGGACGGGCTTGCAGTTAAGCATGCCTACTCGCTAAAGAAGGTCCTGCGCATACTGCTGCTGGTGAAGAAAGAACTCGTCGGCACATCGTACCACCTCAATGCCGAGGAAGTAGTGCAACGGCCCGAGGTCCTTAATGGCAAACTCGGCACTAAGGCGAGCAGTATGCTGACGAAGAAGCTCCGGCGAGGAAGCCGTCAGGATGATGTCGTCGACGTAGAGGAGCAGGTAAGAGGTCGCTGGGGCCTGGTGGTAGACAAACAACGAGGCGTCGGAGTGAGTAGCTCGGAACCCAAGCTGCTGCAGGAAGCCAGCGATCTGCTGGTACCAAGCGCGAGGGGCCTGCTTCAACCCGTATAAAGAGCAGGAGAGCAAGCACACGTAGTCAGGACGAGCCGCGTTGACGAAGCCAGTATGCTGCTGACAGAAGACCTGCTCCGAGAGATGGCCATGCAAGAACGCATTCGACACATCCATCTGATGTACCGGCCAGGCACGAGAGACTGCGAGCTGAAGGACCGCGCGAATCATGCCTGGTTTGACAACCGGGGCGAAGGTGTCGGTGAAGTCGACTCCAGCACGCTGTCGGAACCCGCGTACCACCCACCGAGCCTTATAGCGCTCGAGAGACCCGTCAGGACGAGTCTTATGCCGGAAAACCCACTCGCTAGTGATGACGTTGGCATGGGCAGGTCGCGGGACAAGCTGCCATGTGCGGTTGCGCACGAGCGCGTCGAACTCCTCCTGCGTTGCAGCGAGACAATGCGGATCGCGAAGTGCGGCTCAAGCTGACGATGGGAGGGGTGATGGCACGGATGTCGAGGCAGCAAAGAGTTAATCGTCCGCGGAATAGCGCGTGCTGGGTCGGTGAATACCGGCGCGAGCACGAGTGACCATGCGGATGTCCGAGGCGGGCGGCGGGGCCGGCGAGGCCGATGACGAGGCCGGCGACAAGGCCCGCGAGGCCAGCAAGGAGGGATCGACTGAGGGCAAAGTCGATGAAGAGCCCATCGGGATCACCGGTGAGGCCGTCAAGGAGCCAGGGTCAGGCACAGGAGATGCGCTCGCTGACCGGGATACGGACTCGATGGGAGTCGGGGGCGCCGTGGCCGCCGGCGAAGAGGTGGGAGAGCCTGGGGCGGTGGGGGACCGGGCTGGGTCCGACGCCAAGGACCCAGACGGGGGCCCAGGCGCAGTGGGAGAGCAGAAACCAGGGGAGGCCCTCGCACGGTAGGGGGCCCGAAACCAGGAGGGGGCCCGAGTGCAAGTGAGCGACCTCCTCGAGGGGCGCCGGGAGGCATGGGTGACAATGGCGAGTCGACCGGCGACGGTACCTTGTAAAAGTGAAAAGACCTCTCGTCAAAGTAAACATGCCGTGAAGTGAAAACTCAGTAGGAAACCGGATCTTAGCTACGATAGCCTTTGGTGTTTGGTGGGTATCCAAGAAAGATGCATGCCACGGAGCGAGGTACGAGTTTATGAGAAGTAGTGGAGGCGATGCTAGGATAACAAAGACACCCAAAAACACAAAGGTCGTCATAGGAGGGAGGGCCACCGAAGAGGAGATGATGTGGTGCAAAGTTCCCACGAGCACGGCTCGGACGAATGTTGATGAGGAGAGAGGCGGTGGAGAGGGCATCGGGCGAAAATCGGGGCATGACATTAGCATGGAAGAGAAGGGTGCACACACAATCATTGAGGGTGCGAAGAATCCGTTCGGCGCGACCATTTTGTTGCGAGGTATACGGGCAAGTGAGACAAAGAATCGTGCCATGTGTGGCAAGGATGGTGCGAACCCCGACGTTGTCGAACTCCTTTCCGTTGTCAGTCTGCAAGGCATGAATGGGACGCCCAAACTGCGTAGCGACATAGGAGTAAAAAGTAGTGAGGACGGAGGGTGCATCGGATTTTCTCCACAACGGGAAGGTCCACACATAGTGCGAAAAATCATCAAGGATAACAAGATAGTATAATGAACCCGTATTGCTTGCAATAGGAGATGTCCATAAGTCACTATGAATCAACGCAAATGGATACGACGCCACCGATGAGGACGCACTAAACGGAAGACGAATGTGCTTGCCGAGGCGACAAGCATGACAAGTATGATCATCGTTTTTATTACACGTGAAAGAAAAAGTCCTAAGAATATGATGAAGGGTGGCCGGGTTTGGATGTCCCAGCCGAGCATGCCAAAGGTCCACCGTAGCGGAGAGAGTGACCAGAGCTGATGTGGAAGTGTCGGGAGAGTGCACTGGGTAGAGGCCATCCGGGCTGTCACATTGGTGGAGTACCATCCGGGTACGGGCGTCCTTGACAGAAAAACCCACTTTGTCAAATTCAACAGTTAAAGGATTTTCACGTGTAAGAGAACGAACGGAAACAAGATTAGTGGCTAACTCAGGTGAAACTAAGACATTAGACATATATATAGGCATGGAGTTAGATGGAAAAGAACCATGATCGACATGAGTAATGGGAAGGGATGAGTCGTCCCCAATAGTGATACAACATGCGGTAGAAACTGGATATGCGGAGTTGAGGTTACCGGGGTTGGACGTCATGTGGGCGGTAGCCCCGGAGTCCATATACCAAGCGCAGCGAGGAAGGGCGGATCCCAGGGTGCCGGCGAAAGTGCGGCGGCCGCGGCAGGAGGTGCGGTGGGGTAGGCCGGGGTGTAGCCGCCCGGGGCCGCGTACGCCGGCGCGGCGGCGGGGTAGCCGCCTAGAGCGGCGAGCAGCGTCTGATGAGCACCGGGGCAGGGGCCGAGAATCCTGGCCGGGACGGGGGCCTGCGGCACCGCCATAGTGTACGCGTGGACCACCCCCGTGCAAGGGTTGGTCGCAGCGGCCCAGGGAGTCGGGGGCAGCGCCTGCTCCTGCGGCTGCCCCCCCCCGCCTTGCTGTTGCTGCTGCTTCTTGTTGTGGCGCCCCCCGCAGCGATGGTCGGGGGCAGGGGGCGGCGGCTGGTGCATCGGCGGGGCCTGGAAGTAGGCCGCCGGTGGCGGCGGAGGCCGCGACGGCTGTGGAGCCGTGGGAGGAGCGCCGCGGGAGGTGCCCGCGGCAAGCGCCGTGTGCGTGGCCCGTGACTTCACCATCTTCATCCTCCTCTCATCCAACCGAAGATAGGCCACAACCCGAGGAAAGGTCGGGTCCGGGAGGAACGTGAGGTTGGAAGCCGCGTTGCTGAATTCCTCGTTCGGGCAAGCGGTGAGCATGTTGAGGAGAAGATTGTCGGAGACTCGCTCCCCGAGGTCGCGAAGCTCATCAACAAGTTTCTTAAGGCGCATACAATAATCGTCAATGGACGAATCAAGTTGATGGCATCCAAAAAATTCTTGCTGAAGGAACACGCGGCGCTGGAGGGTGTTGTCGAGGAAGAGACCGTTCAGCTTCGCCCACACCGTCTGCGCGTCATCACTGTCGCAAACGATGGTGTGGAAGATGTCCTTGGAGACGGTTTGGTACAGCCAGCGGGTGATGGTGGCGTCGATGGTCAGCTAGTTGTCGTCCGCGAACATGATGTTGGAGTCAACGGAGCCATCAACGTGATCGATGAGGTGGTACTCGCGGAAGACAAGGGAGAAGTAAGTCTTCTAGGCGCAGTATGTGGAGGTGGCGTAGTCGAGGATGACGGGCACACGGGCGAAGATGTCGAGATCGCGGACGGCTTCGACCGGGGGAGGGGCCGGACCTTCGAAGGGGTTGGGAGATGGGTGGAGATCGGGAGGGAGATGGGTGGAGATCGGGAGAGAGAGGGGTGGCGATCGGAAGGAG